TAGACACATGGAAAAGAAGGTCCTGTGAAGATACAGACAGAGGTGGAGGGATGTGTCCACAGGCCAAGGAACACCATAGAGGGACACCAGAGGCCAGGTAGATTCTCCTGGAGGCACTGATCTGTTGGCTCCCTGATTTCAGACCTCTGCCCTCCAGGAAAGGGGTGACAAACTTCTGATATTTGAGGCCGTCCAGATTGTGGCATTTTGTTACAGTGGCCACGGAAAATAAATATCACAGTTCCACCCATGGTCGCCTTCCTTAAACCTGCAGACCTACAGCCCCTTCACGCTAAGGCCAGTGGTATGAGTGCTGCTCTTGTCAAGAACGACCCCCTTAGCAAGGGCCAGCTGGAGACCACTGGTACCAGCTTGACAGTACATGCTCAAAGTTCCCCCCAGTGACTGAGTGGGACCTGGGCTGGGAGGACTCAGGTGCCTGATCCTCAACCAAAGCTGTCTCCCTCATTTCTGGGAACCCCAGCCCTGACCCCCCAGCCACCTTGCCCTTCCCCTTCCACCAGCCTTGGCTGCATCTTTGGACCTCCCTGGAGGTTTCCTGGCTTGGCCATGAGACTTCGAAGGCTGTCCACACCTCCCAGCCTCCATCACGGGAGAGACCAGGGAGAAGCCCTGGGCACACCGCCCAGGCAGGGCCTCAGAGCTGTCTGCTCTACATTGTAATCACTCGGCAGCCCTCTGCAGTGGGTAGCCCCGGAAGCATGTTCCCATTTTGCAGATTATAAAATGGAGGCTTGAAGAGGCAAAGCAACATGCTCAAGGACGTGGAACTTCTAACCAGCAGAGGTAGGTCACCACTAACTCTCCACACAGAGCTTCAGTCTCATTCACTGTTCCGCAAACAGGAGTCCCTTCTGGGCTCAGGACCTCACACCTATCATGTCTCCACGTGCTCAACAGCTTCACAAGTGGACACTATCACTGCATTGACCACACAAGGACCTGAGCCTACCCCCTAACGCCTTAAAACTTGGAGCCTGGCCATCTTCCTGTCCACTCTGCACTTACTGGGGGGTAAAGCTGGACATGGTCTGTCCAGGAGGGAGTTCTCCCTAACAGGCCCCCTAACAGGAGGAAGGGATAAATCTTCATGGGGTCATGATGTCACACTTGGGCAGGGCTGCAGTGGGCTGTACCCCTGCTTCCACTGCTGTAAGCTCCAGGTAGCAGAGTGGGGTTGAGGGGAGGCTGTCCACACCAGACCATGGAAGCAGCCTGTGGGGAGCTGAGGGCAGCCGACAGGAGTCTCACTGGCACCTCTGGGACCCTGTGGAACCCAAGTTTGACTTTGTACCTCCTACGCACCATCTGCTTTATATGCTATTTAAACATTTCTCAACATCCCTGTTTTAAATGTGTGTTTGCCGAGGAAAGACTGAGGCTTAAGAGAGAAGGAGCCATTTTTCTCAAGGTCATACAGCTTGGGAGGGTCATCCTGAGAACCTGAATCCCAGGTAGGACGGGGGGTCCCTTTGGGGCACCCCTCTTACTGCCTGCCAAGAAGGTGGTCTTCATTTGTATCTCAGGGAGTAGGACTGAGCGGCAACTGGGAGTGGGAGAACCAGTTTCTGGCTTATTTCTCCACTGTCTTGTCTTGTCTCAGTTTCCCCATCTGTAGCAGCATAGGGAATGGCATGAGGCCCAGGTCAAGCCTTGTTCCGGGTACTTGGGAGCTCCCCCAGCCTCTCATCACCTGGTCACCTGGGAAAATGCAGCCCCAGGCCCTTCTGAGCTGCAGGGAGGGAGGACGCCTGCCCCCACCAGGAGGCATTAGTGTTTGAGACCTGCCAGCCCCCTTCCTTTCTTTCTCTCCTGACCTTGGGGTTTGCCAACTACAGCAACCAGGGCTCCCCTGCTTTAGCTCCAGGTCCTAATGCTGATGCCATCACTGTGTACGGCCCTCTACAGCACCTGTGGCTGTCAGACAGCAATGGGATAAGGCAGGACAGGAACAGGCAAGCCTGGCCACTCATTTGTGGAGACCGAAGTGCATAAAGCTCAAGAGACGCACCCAAGGCCTGCAGAGTCAAAGCATTCAGCCTTCTGACCTGAGAGTCAGACACCTGGGAAAAACCAGGGACTCCTTTCTGCTTTCTTTCTGGAGTCTAAGAAGGCTTAGCAAGAACCCTGGAGGTCCAGAGAGCATGGTCTGATCTTGGGCAAATCTCTCTTGCTGGCTGAGCCTCAGTTTCTCTCTGATGGATGAGTCCAGCTAAATGACCTCAGGATACACACCTGCTTTGCCTGTTTGTTCTCCTCCAGCACTCGGTATTGAACCCAGGGCTTTCCTACTGAGTGACATCCTTAGACCTATAAAAATCTTTTTTCTTGAGGCAAGTATTCACTAAGTTGTTAATCTGCCCAGGCCAGGCTCCAACTTGAAGCTTTCCCACCCCAGCCCCTGGAGCACAGGCGTGTGCCACCACATGTGGGCCTTGCTTTCTAGGTGTCACTCATTGTACAGCATACTGGATGGCAGAGCCATCCAGCTGCTCAGGACTGGCCACACCTGCTAGAGGAGAGCACTGTCTCTAAGCACATAAGACCCTCTTTGTCCTTCCAGGGATTTTCCCCCCCGATTCTGAGTTCCAGGCCTGCTAGTCATGCACTTGGAGAGAACCTCCTGTCACAGTCTAAGTGAGCAGGCGGGGAGCCGGATAGCCTGGCTTCTACCTCCACTCTGCTGCCTTCTAGCTCTGTGACCTTGAGTGGGGACTTCACATCCCTGGACACAGCTTCCCCATCGACTGCTGAGGAACAACAAGGCTGTGGGGGGCTTCACTAAGGGGAGATGCATAAAGTAACGGGCTTGGTGGGTACCTGCTAGGTTTCTGTTATTTGCCCAGGTCCCCTGGCCCACACCTGAAGCTGAGTAAGGGGACATGCGGTGCAAAAGGAGGTGGCACCAGGATTTTAGGCTCTGCACACAGCATTAGCCACAGACAACTTTCCTGATCTTCTGCCTAGAGAGGACTTTGGGGGCTGCTGGAGCATCCCAGAGCCTGGCTCTCAGAGCCCCCACTTTGGTGAGCCAGCCTTCTGCAGCCAAGAAAAGCTGAGTGGGGCCAGTCTCGGCAGTAGCTGTGTGCCCCTCCTCTGTCTCCAATTCCAGGCAGCCTTCTCTGCAGTACATCAATAACCTGGGATGGCCTTACTGAGCCCAATCACAGCTCCCTAGGAATGTGGGCTGGCCTGTCCCTCAGGTCTGCCTGAGGCTGTGGTGGCCATTTGGGATCCAGTGTTCCTCTGTCCTACTGCCAGTTGCCTGTGGGGCCAGCCTCTCACCAGCACCCACAGAACAACTTCTGCTCCTGGAAGCTGGTGGGTGGGTGTGTGCATGCAGCATCTGCAGAGGTGCTGCATCTGCATGTCTGCTGCTCTCTTCTTACGAGTGTGACCCATATTCACCTGTGGGCACATCCCAGCATGCTATGCACCTGCCATGCATGGAGGTAGCACCAGGAGCCCCACAAATGTCTGACTGTCATGGTCACAACTGGGCAGTTTCACATGCACACTCCCTGCACCTGTGGCTGCTGCTGCAGGGAGGGCACTGAATGTAGTGTCCTGTACTCCTATGAAGGGCCGGGAGGCATGTATGGGTGAGGGCCTCATAGTTTTGTGTACACACTACATTGGTGTGTGTGCCTGGCTCTGCATGTGAGCATGTGGTATTAGAGAAGGAGCTGTATGTGTAGCCACTGCGTGCGTCTATGGGCATAGGCGTCTTGCACTTCTGTGTATGATTCGAACACATATGATGCACTACTTTCTGATGCTATATTTGAATCTGTGCATCTGAGCGAATCTGTGGGCACAGACATATCCTGATGTGGAAAGGATTGCGGGTATGGAGGTGGCTATACAAACTGGGCCATCAGCATCTGTCTTGAATATCCCTTTCCCCGAGGATTCCCCAAAACCACAGCCTCCTCCCCAGGGCTCCTTTAGTCAAGCCCCTGGGCCTGCGGGCTTCTAGCCCCCTCCTATTGCACACGTCAAAGGAGAATTTCTTGGGATGGCGCCTGCCTCTCCTGGAAATGCCCCAAACGTCAGCTTTGCCTCCTCCCAGCGAATGGGAGACTACGGAGTCCCTCCGAGCAGGGCTCAGACGTGCAGCGTCACACTAAGACCCTCTGCTGGCCTTACCCTTCTGAAGGTCGAACTCGGTGTGCCTCTGCCCGGGGGACCCAAACCCCAGAGCCTTTGCCCAACTGGGATAGGCCAGCCCAGGAGACCCCTCCCCATACACCCCGGGAAACCAGCCACGGCAGGCAGGCCAGGACGACCAAGCTTGAAAGCAGCGGCTGCACGCAGCACATCTCCCCGGAGGTCTTGCAGCAGCACTCGCGACCCCGCAGAGGTTCAGGTGCTCAGCACCGCTCCCCACCCCCGCCCCCGCCAGGCCAGCAGAGAGCAGACCTTCTCGGCCAAAAGTGCCAACTCCACCACCCAGCACGACTGCAAAATGGCCTGGCCACCGTCTCCTGCTTCCCTTCGCCCGTGGAGGGGATGTGGGGACACATCTCCGCACCGCACGCCCGGCCGGCCTGCCTCGGTGTCCCGGCGCCCAGAGACTAGGCCCTCCGGGGACATCCGCCTGCCCTCCTGGCCGGTGGGCAGGTGGCCAACGGGACCCCCGTCCCCTCCCTGCGCCGGGCGCCGGTACTCGCTCCGCCGTTCCGGCCGCAGCCGGCCCTTGCATAACCTGCTGGACACTCGCCGCCCGTCTGCGTCCCCGGCGCCCCCGCCCGCTCCCCGCAGGGTGGCTCGAGGGTCCCCGGGAGCCTCGGGGTGGCGATGCTCCCCTCCGGCCGCCGGATGAGCGCGCCCGCACCCCCATTCCGCGCCGCACCGCCTCGCAGGCGGTGCTGAGACCCAAATGAAATGCAACCAGATAAAGGGCGAGGGAGGAAGGGGCGAGCGGGGCGGGCGCTTTTATTTTTTATTTCTCCATGCTGGGGGATGCCGGTACTTACTCGCTCCGAGGATCGCCGCCGGTGCGCACGGCTGGGCTCGAGGCGACAGCCCCGGGCGCGGTGCGGCAGTGCTGGCGAGCCCGCTGCGCGGTCCTCTGCAGACCGAACCAGCGCGGCCGGCGGGGCGGGGCCGAGCGGCGCCCCGAGCGTGCCCCGGGGGGAGGGGCGGTCGGTCGGGGGGAGGGCCTGGGAGGACCGGGGAGGGCGGGCCCAGGGGCAGGAGTGCGCGGGGTGGGTGGGGTGAGGCGGGCTTGGCGGCTGCAGAGGTGTTTCAGGTTCCGAGTCTCCCGTGGGATCCGGAGGAACCGCAGCTGGCGGGTCCTCAGGAACACGCCCGCTCCCCAGAAGCAGGAGGCATGTCAAGGGCACAAAGCGGGGAGGGCTTGGGCTGAGCCCTGGGAGGGGTCCCCAGAGTGGTGGGGACAGTGAGGTCTCAGAGGGGGGGCATTTGCTCAGATGGCCCAAGTCATCCCCGACTTTCTGGGGGCCTCGTTAGATTGAGAGGGGGCTGTGTCAGGACACCCACTGACCCTGGAGGCGAAGTTTGCAGGGTGGGAAAGTAGTCTTAAAACACCTGAATACATCTGTAGTAGCCAGGCCAGTAGAGCAGCACTCCAGCAGCTGTGGCTACTCCTGCAGGGAATGTCACCTCTGCACACCACCAGTCCCGGGAACAAGAACCAGCAGAAGACCCCTCAAGGGGCCACTTTTGTGTTGCCTACTGCTGGCTTGCAGGGTGTCGGAACTTCTGCACCCAGTTCAGAGCCAACCCTCTCCAAGGACCCCCAGTGCTCCCCACTCAGCCAGCTACTGACTCTTCTGCTGCACCCTTCCTTCCAGACTGCATCTCTCTGAGCAAAGTGAGGCTCCAGGGGCCCTCTAGAGTCTTCCTCCGCGTTGCCCTGCCTCAGGGAGGAGTGCCCTGTTGGGAGGCAGAGCGGAAGGACTTTCCATTCAGGGCACCTGTCAGGGTGGAGGGACTGTCTGTGGCCAGTTCCCCAGGAAGCTGCCTCCTGCTGCTCCCACCCTGCCCACCTCTGAGCTGTCTGCCAAGCGTCCTGCGCAGCTCCATCCCTGGGCTGGCACAGAATATCAATTTGTCTCGTTAAGCTGGAAGTCTGCACTGCACCAAAATCAGGATCCGGCCATGCAGAGGGGCTGCGGAGGAAGAGCAGCACAGTGCTGCAGCAGGACCCTGCTTGCAAGCCCACATTGAGAGGCCCTTCCTCTCTGCCTCCAGCCCATTGTAGGGCCCTGCCTGCCCCTCAGCCTGGCAATGACCTCTGTGTGGACTTCAAGTCAGCATTGTCCCAGGTGATCCCCCACAAAGGGGCTGGTGCCTTGTCTTCCTTGGGGCTTAGAGGCACCTTGCTCCCCGCAGTAAGGCCAGGGTAAGTCTCTCTGTAGTGGCAGGGGACATCTCTGCAATCCAGCAGGTTGGAGCAAAGGTTTCTGGGTGTGTAAGGAGACCCAACTTTGGGGGCAGCCTCTTTCCCTGATTACTAAACAAATGGCCGCCAATTTCAACAACATCATCCTTTCTGTGTCCGGAACACTTTACAGTTTGTAAAGCAGCCTGTAAAATGGTAAACTGTCTGATCTTTCCTGCCATGACACAGCCAGCTTCTGTGAGGAAGCTTCCATGCCCAGGGGGGAAGCAGTGGGTGGCTCCAAGGGGTGCAGAGCTGGCATGCAGGCTGTGCAGCCAATGAGGGATAAGCCATACCCATGCCTCCCGAGAGCTGTACCCAGGGCTCTCCACATGTGCAGCCAGTGGTGAGTGGGCTGGCTGGGAGCCCCAGGGCTTGTCCACTTGGAATCAGTGAGACCTAACTGTCCAGTGGGCCCCCATGACACCAAAGCCACACTCTCAGGCAGAATCAAAGATGAGATTGACACCCAGCCACAATCCCATTGCTTTGACATTCCAGGCCCTACATCCCTCATCTTCATCCACACCGCTGTGATGGGACACACTCTATCTCCTAAAGCAGTTCAGGTGCTGAGCAGCAGAACATTTTTCCTGCTGCATATACCAAGCTTCTAGGTCCTTGAACTCTGCTCATGCCTTGGAGTCCTGCTGAGGCAGCCTGAGGCACCATATGATCCTTCCCTGCCCTATGAGCTGAGAAGGTCCGTGCCTTTGTCCTCGCTTGACTGCATTATCTTGTGGTGGTTGGGATTCTGGCTCCCTCAGCAGGCTGTGACCACCTTGGCTACATGGCTAGTGTCTTAGGGGCCACCTTCTAACACATGAGAAAGGCTTGAATGGTGTGGATTCATCAGGTACTACAACCATAAAGACCCTGAGGAATCAGCTTAGTAGGTAAAGGATAGAAATCTGATCTTAAAACATGGGAATGGATTGAGAGCATTCAAAGAATGCTGAGATCATTCGACTTTAAAAACATCAAAAAAACCCCACTGGACTCACATCTTTCCCCCTACAACAGGCTACTAGTTGTCAGCAGACTGGGCCACCTCTTTTTCCTTTCTCTCTCAAGCCTGGACCAAGTCTGTACTTCTTAGAGCCTCACAAATTCCATAGGTTTCCACCCCCTCAAGAGAAACATGAATGTTCCAGAAAATAGTGCACCTCATTCTCTGGACGCCCCCTGCACCCCATTGTTGTGTTTCTTTCCTAAATAAATCTCTTCTGTGCCCCTGAGAGAAAGGAAGGAAGGAAGGGTGAGCCAGTTCTCCCATTTCACAGTGGGGCAAACAGATCTCTGTGAAAGCTGCCAGTGGTTTGCTTAAACACATCTTAAGGGTGGAATCAGGCCATGGACAGCAGCCCTGGCCCTGGGTCTCCTCTTCCTGCAGCAGACACATCAGGGGTACTGGTCTCTCTTTCCAGGATGTGCTGGGGGTTGGGTGGACTGGACAGGCAGAGGTGTTGTGAAATCAGACAAACAATGACACCAGTGTTGCAACTCTAGGAAAGCTGAAAATGCAGGTCAGGGTCACCCCCCTCCCCCGGAAAGAGGGGACAGAAGCAGGAGGCCAGCCAGGAGGATTACTGATGGCTTCTGCCTTCAGCCTGGTGTGGCTCATGGTAGATATGGACTGAGGGCCATGATCAGGGAAAGGGACGAGAAGTTGAGGTGCAGTGGGGGTGTGTACAGGCACAGCTGATGTCCTTGCAGTGTGTGGTTGGCTGTACACTGTCTTCTCCCTTGGGCAGAGGTCCCAGGGCCAAGTCACTTTGCTCAGGGACAGAGTGAGGGCTACAGGGTCTGGACAGGTCTGAGAGAGAGAGAAGCACACACAGAACTGAGCTGCACCCTCCTAGAGAAACTCTTGGCCGCCTGTCTCCCGCCAGGCTAACAAGGTGGGCAGTCCCCCTGCACTGGTGAATACAGCCCAGCAGACCACACGGCCCGCTGGTCTCAGGTCTTTCTTCTAGCTGCACTGTGGTCCCTGCTCACACCCCCTGCCCACCAAAGTCTAAAGCTCCACAGCCTAGCCCACCTGGGGTGAGGCTTTATGTGCCCACAGACCTGGACTCAACTCCTAGCCATCTGGTTTACCAGCTGTGTATGTAGTCTCATTCGTATGACTCGACATCCCTAAGCCCCAGGCATCTCATCTGCCCAGTGGGGATGATCTGGCAGGACTGTAAGTTAAAGGAAGTGGCTGCTGTTGAGAAGACCCCAGGAAATCCCTGAGATGAGTCTGTTCTGGACTCCCTCCTGGAGCAGGAGCAGCCCATAGACTGGGCTCATTCTATCTAGGCTCCAGTTCCTTTAGTGAGGAGGACGGGGCCTATCTCTGGGGATGTCCACCCCATTGCCACTCACACCAGTAACTTACTATGTCTTGAGAGGCAAGGCCGCCTTTTATTGTGTTTTTCAGATGGGGAAACTGAGGCACAACAAGGTGCAACAACATGCTCAAAGCCGCAGAGTGAACCAGAAAAGGGCACTGAAAGCAGAACTGAGTCCTGGGTGTGGGGCCAGGGTTTGCACACCTGCAGGTTCATATCCCTGACCTGGGGAGGGGGTGATGGAGGACACCACCTGCCTGCTGTGAGGAGGAGGCCAAGTGGAGGCTGAGGGTTCCGAGGGGCACTGCAGACAAGGCTGAACCCACCTCTGTTCTGTACTAGTCCTGGTGGGACAGATGATCAGGGAGTGAGTGGGCTTCCCTCCGGGGCAGCCTGTGGCTCTGGGAGGACTGCCTGGGACAGTGCCCTTTAGTCTAGGGAGCACGGTATTGAGCTGATCTTCTCTTCTGGCAGCCCACATTGTTACTGCACATCCCTGCGTACCCACCCATCAGTGCTGCCTGACTTGGCTCCCCACCTCCTCTCCTGCCACCCTGACCTATTTACCTGCCCTGCAGCTTTAGAGAGTTTTCCAGAACTCCCCTGCACCATTCTTTGGCTCCCCTGAACTTGAAGCATAAAATTCAACTCTCACTGTGGCTCCCATGGCTGGACAAGTATCTCAGGCCTTCCTGCCACTTTGTGCCCCTTGGCCCCCGGCACATCCACACCTCTGCATCTGCCGTGGCTGGGCCACCTTCCCTTTCTACTCTTTGGCCTGGAGGGCTCCCACACATGCTTCGAGATGGCGCCAGGACCCCTTCGTGAAGCCTTCTTTCGTTTTCCCTCCATTGTCCTTACCCCCATTATGGCTTGGTTTTAGTGAAGCTTTCTGTATACATCTATCTGACAGGCAAAGTTGCTCCACTGGACAGGACATTGGGTCGCATTTGCCTGTGGTTTCCTTGGCAAGTCTCTTGCACAAGAAAGCAACTCTGGTAGCTCTGCATGGTGTTAGACTCTCTGGAGATAGTCTTCGGTTGTACTCCGAAGTCTGTCTCAGGAGTCCCTATTTCCTGAGTCTGCCAGTGAGTGGAGGTCCCTCTGTGCGCCCAGTGTGGACAGGGTGAAAGGGGACCTTGGCTTGATGCACCAGCCCTGTCCAGAGAGCTGTTACATGGGACTCGGATGCTAGAGCCCAGGGATGGACGTGAGAAGAGCTGTCTGCCTGGGGCAGCCCTGACCCTGAGCATGCCCTCTGACATCTGCTGTCTGACTCCCACCATTAGTAATTCATTGTTGGTGGGGGGGGGGTGATTCAGTCAACAAATATTATTCAACTCTCACCGACACTGTGCTGGAGTCTCTACTTCACATTCAATTGTATGTATGT